AAGAATCAACACATTCTACACTGTAGCGGTAATAAATGCACGTACATCAGAATATGAGCTAGTAGGTAGAATAATGGGTTGTTGTAAGAAGCCGTGAATTATGGAAAGACATCTAAATCTTTCCATAATAAAGGAGATTGAAAGGCTAATATCTCTCTCCCTCCGAGCCAACATATACTAAACCTGTCAAGTCTAATATACCATGTACAGAAAAAAACTTGAAATCTAGGAGAAATGCAAATAAACAAAGCGATAAGGAAACACTTGTTTACTCAAGAAGGCCAAAATCAAAGTCAAAGGAATACCTCGCACCCGAGACACCAAAAGAGTCGGAACCGGTGATGTGGCCTAATGAAACTTTAGCTAATAAACACGGATCTCCAAATGAAAATCTACCAATTGCTCTCAGAAAACCAACCAGATCATGTGCTCTTCATCCTATCTCAAAATTCATGCCTTATCAAGCCCTATCAACAACTTTTCGTTTCGCTGGTAAGATAAACTAGTTTCCCTCTTCCATCAATCACCAGTTCAATTGACTGGGTCCACTCACGATAATTTTTTCCTGTTCAACTTCTCGACTGTGAGCTTAAACGAGTTTTCAATCCCATTTGAACCAATTATGGGAGAGTTTTCTGTTTCAACTTGCGGGGCGTCGGACGTGACTGACCCCATGCTGTTGACCGGAAATTCTGCCATAAATTGCTAGATGTATGAACCTAGCTCTGATACCATGAAAACTGAGGAGAGAAATTCATGTTTTTCATATATGACATTATACATGCCACTATACACCTCTTTATATTACAATCATACAACTAAGAAAGGAAATTAATAAGAAAAGGAAAAATAATCTCTTATTTTAAGAGAATAACATTAGCCTATCAATCTCCTTTATTATGGAAAGATTTAGATGTCTTTCCATAATTCACGGTTTCCTACAGTTGTGAACATGGACATAAAACATAATGAGATCAAAAGAGCATAACATACTTCCTTGTGGTTGTGATAGAACGGAGCCAGTCCCCAAGACAAATGCTGTGGAAGGCTCTATTGCAGTTTGCATTTTCACATTTATAATCAGTTTCGCTCCCACTCTTTGTACCAAGTTCATCATCTATGTCAAAACCACCAAGTTAAATGCAAGGAGGAGGAGGAGGAGGGGGGGGGGGGGGTGCCCAAAAAAAAAAAAAAAACGCCATTAAGCAAACCCCCACATGTGAGGGGGCTGCCATTCGAGTGGGGGATTGCCCTAAAAAACAAATCATACGCCATTACCTAAGGGAAGATTTTGAGCATAACAAATGCCGCATTCTATTTGCTCCTCATTCTTTTGGACAGGTTGAGCTTGAGGCAGCTGAATGCCCAAAACACACGCAAGATTTATAGGGAATGGTTTGTCTTTCGTCCTATGAAGAACTGGATATAATTAAAATACCAAACAAATGATAGTCATTCCAAGCAGAGCCTATATAATTGAACTTAAATTTCAAAAACCTTACGCAAACTGGAGATCATTCGAAGATTGCGATAACCATAATGACAGTTACACAATTCAGACCCAAAGGTTAATAGAGCTTTTGCAATAAATTTTTCAGAGAAATGCTCTAATATAGAGAACAGGAGAAAGTTGCATTCCAATTGAAAACTTAAAATGAATAAACAAAGCATGATTTGAATATGTTTTATCTATATGGAAACATACCATAGTTTGCACCTTCTTCTCCAAATTTCCCTCAGCAAGTTAACTTTTGGATAAGCACCCATGAAGCGACACCTACCAGAATCAAGAATTTGATTTGTTCAACCAAAGGTTAAAGATAGTTAAAAAAGAAAAAAGAAAAATCAGAGAAATCTACTCTGGTAAGGCTCGCGGATCACTGGCATTTATGGACAGCATGATGTAGCAATCATTTCCTAAGAAGGACAAAACAAAAGAGATTAGCAAAAGGAGAGAGAACAAGTAAAAGACTATATGATTGATCAGAAGACATATAGATCAACAATAACCTATATTGATTTGGCGATAGGATGTTGCAAGATCTGGCTGTTTTGGATTAGTGACCCAAAGAGATCGATCAATATCATCCAAGGTAGACCAGAAATCCTGGAGCTTGTCCATGTGCTAAGCAAAGCAGTGAGTTGCTCATTAAAAATTAGACAGCGAACAAATGAATTCATGCCTCAAGAAACCAAGAAACAAAGTAAAAGAAACCTGACTGCATAACAGACTAACTCAACTGAAACAAATTTATCAGCGTGTACCTCCTGAAATTGCCGGACAACATCTCTTAAACTTGAGTTTCTCGGCCATTCTAAATTAAAGTTGTATGGCACATCCTGTGAACATGACCTATAAACTTTGTATTACACATATTTATCACAAAACAACAAAAATCAAAGAAACAGTAGAAAACTCACCGCTGACACTGCAGGTGGGCATTTGGGATAGGTCTTATCTAATGTTATCTCCAGAATATGCGCTCTTCCTTTTTTATCCCTAGATCATATATATAGAAATTATGAGTGCCAAAAACAACTAAACCAAAGAGGATTAACGTGAAAAGTAATCATGAACATATAAATTATACTCATTTGCAAGTACAAAATTACCTAATTTTTATTACATGTTTACAAACCTAGCATGGATGAGCCTGCATATCGCCATTTTGAAAGTATAATGGATTGTAAGATAAATCAACTTGTCATTGACAAGAACATAGTGACTAAAATAAGTCATTTAAAATCAAGTGAATAAAACATTCTACAAAATTAACATAAGAGTTTGAGAATATCAATTTATGGAGACCATATAATCACCCATTGCCTTCTATGTAAAGTTAATTGCCGCTTGTCTCTCACAGGTTTTTCATATAAAATTTGCATATCATTTGTCATCTTTTGTCTTAAGTTGGATGGCATAAAGTAAAAGTTTTTTGGACGACCTCCATGCCTTTAAATAATATATATAATGTTTAGTTTCGGATTTCAATGAAATTTGAGGTCGAGCAAATTGCCTCAAAATCTTTCACATAGACGAAGAAAAATGCATGAGCATCCTGCCATTGAGGGATAAAAGAAGAAGGCACCCCCAACATAAAATTTGAGGTCCTCTAGTGCTTTAGAATAAAAATAAACCAACAAGGGTTCGTGAAAGAGCTAGGGGCAACATGTAATAGCATAACATATCTGGATAGATGCAAAAAGTTTGTGTAAGTCTTGCATTCTTGTGCATATCAAATTTCTAAATATTACATCTTGTATAGTTTAATCCCAGTTAACTTAACCTCAACAGTACACGACCAAAAACTTAAAAGAAAAACACAATAAAAGTTTCAAGATTAGTCCAAACTAAGCTTCTCTGAAATATTGAGATTCAGATTTTTTCCTAGATGTCTCATATTTTAAAACAATCATACTTTTCAGGTGATAAAAAAAGAGGACACCAATGCCTTCAAGGAACAATGTGACAGAGTTGTGCAGAACAGTTTCTACCTAAGCCATAAATAAGTAAGAGAATAATATTGGAAAAGTAAATCATATTTCATTTACACTTGTTTGTTCTTTCTTTTAAATAAATTATATAACTTCGACGCTGAACCTGTATGAATCTTGTTTACCCCATTTTTTCTTTGAATAGAATCGTCAGTCCTGATCCATGTCTTGTGTCTAGCATTCCTATGGCCAACTATTTATGTCCATTCAAAAAGTGATAAATGACTAACAAACATGATAAACGCCATTATTAGCTCTTACATGAATGACATAGTATGGGGTAGAAAGTATGAGCCAAGAAAAACATATGAAGCAGCTTTAAGCTATGAAGTAACATAGAAAATGATAGTGCATTATTTATTTCTTCCTTCTACAAAAACTGCATATAGATTCTGATCGCAAGATAGCTGTACATGAGACGGAAGCTAAGAGATGTCAGATCATCCTGCAATTTCAGTAAGCGTTCCCATCCAATCTCTTCTACCTAAAAATATAAACAAAATTTTACAGATCTTCACTCCATATTTGAAACAGTAGCCATGAATTTGCAGCGAAAAAATTATCATTGAAAACTGAAACTTGCTTAATCATTTGAAACAAAGCCAAAATACTGAAGCTTCAATATAGGGCATGACATAGATAGGTACCAATAATGATATATATCCCAAATATATAATATAGAGCATTAATCATATACAGAAAATGGAAACATCACTACTCTGTTATAAGCATCCATTGATGTGCATCAACAATTTCTTTTGTTCACCACAAAGAATATATGTGTGAAACAGTCCTTTGATCAACTATTTAACAATTTCCAGTATCATTTGAAGCAAGGTTTGATTCTTAATATTTAGAACATCTACAGTATCATAACAAGTTTAGGACTTTCAACTTGCATAATCAAGTACCAGGTCTACCAAATGACAATATGTAAAACATAATTGACAAGAAACTTGCGAAACTTGCTGATTTTAATCTGTAATCTACCTTTGCTTTAATTTTGTTGACAACAACTTTTACACCCACAATTTCAAAATCTAAATGGAGGCCTCTAGTAAAGTTATTTCATGAACAATGTGAGTACATAAAAGATTGAAAACCAAAACAGTTGTACAAGAGAAAAGAGATCATATGGTGAGTTTGAGATTCGTCAATGCAGCAAGATAATATAGTATTCCCAAAAATTGCACTGATGCCTATAGTTATGAATGGATACCAAGAGATACTGGAACCAAAGCCGTATTCAGAACTAAAAATTACCTCTGAATATATCCTGCGGTAGAAAGCAGAGGATTTTGCCAGCTCCAAACGCCTACTTTCCCCAGAATATTCCTAAAATATATCCATAATGATAATTAAAATTCATGACACATTTGCAAGCATCTTTTCAAATTAAGTATTTCATACTTTTACCATGCTGACGTTCATTCCCGTCGAAATTCTGAAAATAATCTGCAACGGCCATAAAATTGAAATACCAAAAAAATACACTATCAGTACTATATACTCCCGAAACTCGATAATCAGTTCGAACGGCTACAATGTATACGGAACTAAAAAACTGTCTTTTGAACACAATAACAAATACCTTACAGGCAGTGCAGTAGTTCAAATACCCTCAAAAGACTTCGTATTTTTTGTTTTTTTTATTGCATTCTCCCGTAGCTTCAATAAACGGTGAGCGTGAGTTGTGTTTATGTTCCGGCAAACGATGCAGTGCAAAATTGTTGGCTTGGCCTCCGTCTGGGTTTGGTTGGGCTGGGTTCAATGTATCGTTCTAGTTTCTACTCTGGATATCACGTGTTTATAATCATCGTGTTTAGTTTCTCACGAGTTTTTAATTGGTGGGAGTTTCGGTGCACTAGCATTTTTCTAAGTGTCCAATTTGGACGTTTATGAGCGATTCCATTTTAAGTAATTTTAGTAGCGATTTTTTAAATTGTCCAAGTCAATATACTTTTTAAATTAGCCAAGTCAATATACTGGGCTGGGTTCAATGTATCGTTCTAGTTTCTACTCTGGATATCACGTGTTTATAATCATCGTGTTTAGTTTCTCACGAGTTTTTTAATTGGTGGGAGTTTCGGTGCACTAGCATTTTTCTAAGTGTCCAATTTGGAAGTTTATGAGCGATTCCATTTTAAGTAATTTTAGTAGCGATTTTTTAAATTGTCCAAGTCAATATACTTTTAAATTAGCCAAGTCAATATACCATTTTTTCACTTTGATCAAAAAATTTTGCCAATCTTCAAAATGGCCATTTGTTGAGTAAAAGACAAAAATATCCTTAAATAATTTATACAATTACAAAGATAGAATTTTGTTTAAAAAGACAAAAATACCCTTATATTACAAATTAAAAAACGAAACACTTTTCACTTTATATTTAATTAATTATTTAAAACACTTACTCAAATAAAAAAATTAATATTTAATTTACATTCTTGTTTAAATATTTCGTTAATTAACTATCTTAATCGATTATGTATATTATTTATTTAATATTTAATTAATCTATTTAATTATTTATTTTAAACACTTACTCAAATTAAAAAATTAATATTTATTTTAATTTCTTATTTAAATATTTCATTAACTAATTACCTTAATTGATATATGTATATTTAATTATATATTTTAAACACTTACTCAAATTAAAAAATTAATATTTATTTTAATTTCTTATTTAAATATTTCATTAACTAATTACCTTAATTGATATATGTATATTTAATTATATATTTTAAACACTTACTCAAATTAAAAAATTAATATTTAATTTAGTTTCTCATTTAAATATTTAATTTGGTTTCTCTTTTAAATATTTCATTAATTAATTATCTTAATTGGTCCTTATTTAATTATTTATTTTCAACACTTACTCAAATAAAAAAATTAATATTTAATTTGGTTTCTTGTTTAAATATTTCTTTATTAATTAATTACCTTAATTGGTTATGTATATTGCTCATTTAATATTTAATTACTTTATTTAATCACTTATTTAAATAAAAAATTAATATTTATTTTAATTTCTTATTTAAATATTTTTTAATTAATTGTCTTAATTAGCCATGTATATTATTTATTTTTTTAATTATTTATTTAATCACTTAATTAAATAAAAAATTAATATTTAATTTAATTTCTTATTTAGATGTTTTATTATTTAATTATCTTAATTGGTTATGTATATTATGTATTTAAAATGTAATTACCTTATTTAATTATTTATTTAATCAAAGAATTAATATTTATTTTAATTCTTATTTAAATATTTCATTAATTAATTATCTTAATTAATTATGTATATTCTTTATTTAATATTTAATTACTTTGTTTAGTTATTTATTTAATCACTTAATTAAATAAAAAATAATATTTAATTTAATTTCTTATTTAGATATTTCAGTAATTAATTATCTTAATTGGTTATGTCTATTATTAGTCATTAGTATTTAATTACTTTATTTTAGTTATTTATTTAAATAAAAATATTATACCATAATGTACAAATGACATAACATTATTGAATATTTGAAAAAAAGAAAATTTATCCTCCACTCATGGAATTCCATATGTACATTATGAATATCCTTATGAATTAGTACATGTAGAATTATCCAATATTTGATTTGATTTCTTGTTTAGATATTTTTTTTATTAATTATCTTGATTGGTAATGCATATTTTATTATTTTATTTAATTATTTATTTTAAAAACTTACTCAAATAAAAAATTAATATTTAATTTAATTTTTTCTTTAAATATTTCATTAATTAATTATCTTAATTTGTTATGTATATAGTTTATGTAATATTTCATTACTTTTTTTAATCACTAATTCGAATAGAAAATTTATATTTAATCTAATTTATTCTTTAAATATCTCATTAATTAATTATCTTAATTGGTTATGTATATTATTTATTTAATATTTAATTAGAACATAAATCACATGGTGTATGAGAATATTTAACAGAGATGGAAGTTGAACTTTAGGCCTGGTCAGATTTACAATACATCAAACATTATTCAATAATGTCAATACTATATTTGCTCTACAAAATAAAGTTGAGTGAGAAGTTTCCAATTATGGTATATTACTCTCTATCCAACGAATGTGTAATATCTATTTAAATCCTATGTACTCTCTATTTATAGTATGTTATTGATTTTCTCAATTTTCTTTATTTATAGTGTGTTATATATGTAATTAAGAGTAATTAGTTATTTATTATATAATTATATAAAAACTAAAGTATTACAAACTTTTTTAAAAAAAATGCTTACTTTTGAAATTATTATAATTACGGGTCACAATGTACATAAAAGAACGCTTGCATTTTAATGTGTGTTTAGTTTATTAGCTCTACACCACGTTCGATGCTAAAAATTTAATGTACTTCAATTAGGGTTGTCAATTGATTGAATTTTGATCCGAATCCGATGAAATTAATAGGAGATGGATTTATGGTCTCAATCTGATAACCCAATCGAGACTTGAATTCAATAATTTGTTAACTAAATGAATCAATAGATTGGATTTTGATTCGAATTCGATCTAAATCCAATGAAATTAATGGGAGATGGATTTAGGACCTTAAATTCGATAACCCAATCGAGATTCAAACTCGATAATCCGTTAACTAAATGAATCAAATATGGATATAGGTCATTCCTATCTGATAAATAAATAAAATCTTTATTTTTCTAATTTTTTCAATTTCGGATCGGATATGATAATTATTATTAATGGATCGGATCGAATTTGAGCAAATTCGATCCATATATCCGATCCATTTACATTCCTAACTTAAATGCGAAGTTTTCACAATCACCCTAGTCGATTTCACGAAAGAGGTTGGACAGCGTACCATCAACAGATGTTCTCTTCTTTGCTTCAATCGTGTACAGAGAAACAATATGTTGTGACAGCAATCTAGTCCTCTTGCTAACAATTTTGCTCTGGCACGTCAATAATATGTTTCGTACAAGGTGCCATCCAAACTCGCGACATTATCTGTCAAGTTGGAGGGTCCTCTTCGACATAGTTATATATATTATTTATGTAATATTTAATTACGTTGTTTAATTATTTATTTAATCACTTAATTAAATAAAAAAGTAATATTTAATTTAATTTCTTATTTAGATATTTCATTTATAAATCATCTTAATTAGTTGTGTGTAGTATGTATTTAATATTTCATTACCTTATTTAAATAAATTTCACAATATATACAATTATTTCATAAATAAAAAAAATTACAATTATTACAATTATTTCATCCTCACCACCGACACCTCTTCCATCTCCACTGACATCCATAATGATTCTAATGAAACAACTGTGTACATCCCAACCCCTCCACTGTCACCCTCCCTGTCACCATCTCCGCTATTCTCTGTCACTGTCTAGGACCCCTATCACCTACATACTGTATCTCTTCAGATATGACTCTGACCCTCCTCCTCGATCAATGGTATCAGCTCAGTGAGCAATTCAAGCTGACATATTAACATTTCACTGAGTTAATGACCATGCATCGAGATTTCGAAATGACATACAACATAAATCACAAAATAAATAATATGTATTTCAAGATCGTCGAGGAGAGCTGATAATTGTCAGCTTTGTCCTATGGATAGTTGTTGAATGTGTCAATGTCATCGACAACCACCAAATGAAAGACGCCTATCAACTTCTTCTTGTGATGATACCTCAGTATGCTCTTCAGTATAAACACCATCCCCAACTTCAACTTGTCAAACATATCGTCGTATTTCTTGAATGCATCTTCCAAACAGGCTCTAATAAATCAATAACTTTTGTTGCGAAAAAAGCTCTATGAGCTTTCCTTCGTTGCTAAGTCAAGGTCCCACGTTTTCGAGTCACCCTGCGCCTTTTTCGTAGAATCCTGCGTCCATAGGCACGTGACTTATATTCCTAATTTAAAAATTTTATGATATTATAATTTAAGATATTAATAAATTCACGCAACATCTCTATCCACTTATTGAAGATCCTATACATAGTGTTATTATCTTGCAAATACAGTCATTCAAGTAGCTTGACCAACATTTGCATTCTGATGATTAAGTTAGTATCGATGATTATAACAAGTGTACAAGAGAAACTAAATGGATAAAGAGTTTGATTTTATACGCTGTTCTTCATGTTGAGATTGGTCCATGGTACTTTAGACTTTTTACATTTCATGAACACATATCACACAATGATTTGTGGATAATAGCTTCTAGTATCTTTTGAACATGTGTCATTTGTTTATTGGCGATGTTATTATTAACCAACTAATTATTGTTTGATCTATTTTGTACTTTTTAATTATATTTTTCTTTTATTTGAATCAAGAAATATGGAGTCCAACATTCTTTGCCCGATCAATATCCATTTAGCCTTTGAAGAATTTGTGTAAGCTAAGTAGTTTTGTCATTCCAATCAACTCTAAAGAAGAGAGAGACTAAGGTTCGGTGGGAAACGAACCACATCATGAATTTTTCCTCGTTGGTGATCTATTACTCGCTTCTCCTTGTTGAAGCAATATTGACGAGGCATATGAAAGTTCACAAGACAATTTGAATTACTCATAATGATATAGACATAACTTGACACGTGTCATTGAATCTGTCATGGATCGCACACAACATCTACGTGGAAAGAGATAGTATAACATTTAATATTTTGGTTTTTCTTTGATTTATTCTTTTGGTTTTAACAATTTTACTATTATACAACTCGAATTTATTTGATTAATACATAATTCAACTAAATGAGAACTTTGAATAGCATTTAGTTTTTGCTTCAAATGCTTTACCTAC